ACAAAAGAAGTAAAACATTCTCAGTTTTTTTTAATGTTTAATTTTTAAGAATAAGTATAAAATATTTTATTTAAATGCTTCAGTTGTATGGGAATTTCAAGGGCTCAGTCTTCAGTCGATTTTTCTTTAATGCAAAAATAAGCAGAACAGGTTTTTTTCGTGTTTAATTAGACAACTAAAGTAACTAATTTTGCTGAACTAGAAGTTTAATGCTTTGCAACGTGTATAGATCAAATTTCTCACATACGTGCCATATACTGAATTGGATAAAGAAATAAAGTTAATGCCATCTGGAAGGAAAGAATCAAACAAAGATGCAAATCGAGCTTAATAATTTGTTGCTTCCTCATATTTTATTACTGTTCATAGATTTTTAAATCACCAAGTTCATAAGCAGAAAATTACCTGTTTGTCTTTGGGTAGTTTGTACATAATTCGATTCCAAATAATCCTGATCCAGGAAAACAAGCAAAGCACTAAACGAACCCAAATAAATTAAATTTATGCCCTTTTATTTAAATTTTTCTAAACGCCCGTTGCACAACTTCACTCGGGCCAAGAAAAAGGAAAAATGATGTAAATGTATGGTAAAATAGAATCGACCAAGTTTAACATAGTTGGGCAGAGATTAAAGGAGAAGAATAAGAGCCCGTTTTAAATTTTAATATGATTTTCTTTGTTTAACTGCAAAATTGCCTTGGGATTTTTTTACATACGAAACTGCGATTAAACTTTAATAAAGATATACTGAAGTTTGTCCTGCGACAAGATTTAAAAAGTTTGTTAAGCGGAAATATGCCCCTCACGTCCACACGTTTTATTGAAATGATCTGAATTTTGAAAGGCAGCCTGTCTGAAATAAGATTCATGTTTTTTTTTTTGTTTCATTTTTAACTTGGAGCAATATAGTTATAGTCAACACAAACATAAAGACATTATTTGACATAAAATGAAAACACTTCCAGTTTAACTGGAAATAGTAGCAACTCTTAAATTTTAATTATTACACCATGTATATTTTTACAATTTTGGAGTATTAAATTCTGAGTTTGGAAGTATTACATTCTTGGATATTTGACACTTTCTTTTTACACAAACCTCGGGTGTCCCCCAAGGCTCGATTCTTGGTCCTCTCATGTTTGATATATTTTTTAATGATATCGTCACTAACTTGGTTGTGTCTTTTCGCTTATACTCGGACGATCTAAAAATATTTTGAGGTGGAATCTTCTTTCGATTATGTCAAACTACAGGTCTATCTTTTTCTTATTAACAATCTACTTCTTAATGCCAGTAAATGTAATGTAATATCGTGTAGCCACAAAATTGATTTGCTACTATTTGATTACAGTCTCGGTGGGCCTTGGTATTATTTTTGATCCCAAAGATCATATCAATCATAATGTAGCATCTGCTTCCAAGAACCTTTGCTTTCTAATTTGGAACATGAAAAATTTTAAATCTCTTGAGACAATTCAATTACCCTTCGTAACTTCTGTTACGTTTAAATTTAAATATGCTTCTGTCGTCTGTAGTCCTATCTATTCCATGCATATTTTCGTCATTGAAAGAGTTTAAAGTGCATTTTTAAATCAATTATTTTCGTCTTTGACACTGTTTATCCTATGAGACGTACCTCACAAGAGATTCTTTTATGCACGTTCTAATATGCACAGCTTAATTAGAAAGCGAACTATTATAAATTATTCTTATTTACAAAATTCAAATTCTTTAATTTGAAGAAACTGATAGTTATTCAAAATAATGCGTCCACTAGCTCTGAAGGCAAACATAAAATCTCTAAATTGCGGGCAGGTGGAATCAGAATTAAATCTATTTTTTATTTGTTTTGAATAGACATCTGCGTCGTATATCATTCTTCGACGGAGACATACCCACTTGATCAATCGACGGTGGCGGCAACAGCCGGTGGTCACCACCGTAGGTTGGCACAGGCCACCACTTTAATTCGATATTAGCAGTATTGTGACTTTTGAATGTTGTGACAATAAACAAAAGGGGTGACAATATTATTCAGTTTGTAACAAGTCTGTAACAAACCATCCAGTTAGTACCAAAGCGCTCCGTACAAACCCTGTGCGGAGCGCCACCGATGGCTTTCCCTATGGACCATATGCCTACGTCACCCTGAGCAGATATTCCGGTCTCTGACGTCACGGCCACCTTGTCCGAACAATAAAACTCGAGCTCTCAGGCCGGAACGGCAGTTCTGTTCATAGTTTTACTACTTACCCTGGCAAACTACGACAGTGCCAACTCCAGGATCCGGAGCTCAAGAAAATCCTGGACTGCTTCGACTAGGGACCTCCTGAAGATGTCACCCCATGGGCATCCCAAGGGTATCTCACTAATCAAGGGATGTTGTACCGTTATATTGAATCGAAAGGCACCGACGATGCAAAGCTAATCGCTCCAGCGGATGAACGTCAAGCACTACTTAGACAATACTGCGACGCCCCACACGCAAGACATTACGGGGTCGATCGCACAGCCCATAAGATCCTTCAGCGCTATTACTGGACAGGGCTAAGGAAGACGGTTGCCGAGTATGTCAAGCATTGCCCCGAATGTCAACGCTACAAACCCAGCAAATTTGTACCTGCCTGCCTATTAATGACCCCCGTGATGCGCCAACGTTTCGAGGTGCTAGCCATTGATCTCTTTGGTTCCGTACCAGAGGACCCCGAGGGACAAAAATGGATCCTGGTCACAGAGGATACCGCTATGGATGGATCGTGGTGTTCCCTTTAGCGGAAGCCACTGCCGAGGAATGCGCCTGGACCCTCGTAAACCAGTTCTGCCTGCGGTATGGGATATCGCGACGACTCATTAGCGACAACGGACCCCAGTTCATAAGTGCCTTTATGCAATACGCCACCTACTGCCTGGGAATGGAGCAGAAGTTTACCCCAGTCTACCATTCGGCTGCTAAGCCGGTGGATAGATGGAACCGGGACCTCAAGGTACAACTTGCCATTATAGTGGGACCACACCACGACACCTGACCCAGCAAACATTCAGCTATCAGGTTCACCATAAATACCTCCCGCTGACAAGCCACCGGACACAGCCCCGCTCACCTAGTTTTCGGACACGACTTCCGGAGCATCGTGCAAAGCGAAAACTTCGTCCGAGAAGTGACCCCACGCTTACTGGCAATGGCAAACATCTTGGTGAAGGCCAAGGAGACCTAGGAACACGAGCAGGACCGCCAGAAGCGGTACGCCGACAGCCACCGGGGGCCCGCAACGGACTTCCAACCTGGTGACGATGTTTGGGTCACGAACCACTCACTAAGTAACAAGACAAAGTGGTTTTCCCGAAAGCTGGCTCCCCGGAGAGATGGACCCTACATAATCCTCCGGCAGCACGGACCGTGCAGCTACCAAATAGCAAATCCTGCCCAGCCAGTTACCCTCCTGGGCACCTATGACACCTCGGCCCTCACACCCTACAAAGGCGCCGAGGCCACCAACCCTCAAGACCTTCCTCCACCAGTCTAGCCGATCCGCTGAAGAAGACGACCACGGAAACATCAGGCGCCAGAGTCCTCGGCCGGGATGTCTGCTGGACTCTGAGAGGAACTCTGTAACAAGTCTGTAACAAACTATCCAGTTAATACCAAAGCGCTCCGTACCAACCCTATGCGGGGCGCCACCGAAGACTTTCCCTATGGACCATACGCCTATATCACCCTCAGCAGGTATCCCAGTCCCTGACGTCACGGCCACCCCATCCGAACAGAATAAAACTCAAGCCCTCAGGCAGGAACGACAGTTCTCCTCATAGTTTTACTACTCGCCTTCTCGCATCCCGGTTTAATCACTAGAGCTCTGGTAGACTTCTAAAAGAGGTCACTCACCGGCGGTACGCTCTCGAAGCTTTACTAGCAGCCTCTGCACATCCCTGGGATTGAATCATTGGAGCTCTAGTAGACGCTAAGCGATCACTCGCCTGTTAATTGCTTGGTGCATCCTTGCACTGGGTCGCTGGAGTACGGGCCTTCCTTGCTGGACGTCCTACATACAGGTGGGATGGACTTTGACACTGTGGTGCATTTTCTATAGATAATAGCGCTCACCTACTACGTCTTCTGCATTCTTGGCGTGGATCGTAAGAGTAGTGGAAATGTAATAGCGGCCAACGTCTTCTTTGCATCCTTGGGGATAGGATCACTAGGAACAGTCGTCCCTGGAATATATGTATATCTATTTACTGTTGTGCCGTTCCCGCCGCCTCCTCTACAATCTGCATCCTAGTTGGATCGTTGGATCGTGGGACTCACTATTGCTTTTCTACCTCTCTATGCGTCCTAATTATGGACCTTAAGAGAGAGGATCGCGATACTAATGAAGAAGTACTGCGGGACTCTACGAAGACAATCAGTGGTACCTTGGACACATCGGCGCACGCGTTCCGAGTGTGGACAGTGGGACCGTGCATCCGCGATACGCGCCCTGTCATGGAATCAGACATTGCCGTCACCATTGGACAATAACTATACCTACCGCAAGCGTCCTGCGCGTGGACCGTGCAAGTGAGTGGGTGTGCTCCTCGATGCCCGCAGTCCCTTGTGTTTAGACACTTATAGACATAAGTTTGGACACTACTGTATATATACATATACTCCTGTCAATCTCCCTGCTCTCTGATACCTCAATAAACCTGTATTGCAAATATATCTCTAAGTTTCTTCTAGCTTCGAACTTTTTCTCCACGACACCACCCCCCGTGTGGTGTCACAAGTTGACAATATTGAATTAAATGCAATTATGTTGGTCTTCATTTTTATTGTACTTTCATAAAATTAAAATTAAAACTTTTTTTTTTAATTAAACACCACAGGTAATACAACCCCCTGTATCCCCGAAGGTACCTCAAGGTACCTTGTGTGAGACACAGCTACACATTTAGAAACAATGAACACAAACCCATCGTCCGAGTGTGCTAGGATTAATTTCCGGTTTAGAAATAATCCTAGCTCCTCGACCGGGGATTGAACCCGGAACTCCAGGGTGAGGGGCAAATGTCCTCACCACTCGACCGCGAAGCCGCACAAATGTTTAATAATCTTGCAAAAAAATTTTCATTATTGACTTGGTCGTCAGTGTTTTCACCTTCTTCTAAATATAATTCTCCAAAGTAGCACCATGCAAAGCTTTTTTTTAGAATTATCAAGTAACACTTTAAACTTGGAGATTTTATGTTTCGGTTCTTTAAATATATTAATTTTTTACTAATACTACTTCTACTAATTTTACCGTATCGATGCGGCGGCGCAGATGTCTAGTTTTGAGTTGAGCGCCACTAGTTTATTGGTTTATAACTAATAATACTAATGCGAGACATGAAAATTATAAAGTAGGTATGTCTCTTATTAAAAACTGGAAAAGCAACGGGTTGGTTTTATACTGGAAATACTTATCTTACTCGTAAAGTTCCACTTAAGTTTCAATGTACTATAAATAGGCCACATAAGACTTTCTGATACTCATTTTGAGTTTCACTTAAATTTCGGTATTTATCACATTTTGACTGAAAAAAAAATTAAAATAAAGCCTTCGTAATATTAATTTACAAATATTAACTATCAATAATTGAGTAAAAATTTACAATTCTGGTTCTTACAATCCTAAAAAAAATAAACGGTGTTTATATTAATTGAAATATAACTAAAACAAAGTTACAATTAAAATCGAACTAAAAGTGAAGTATCACCGAAAACTAATTCTTAAACTAGGCGAGAAAACTTAAGCAAATCAAGGTAAATTTTGTAGTCTCTAGGTGTGAAAACAACGATACCAACAGAAAAACAATAATGATTCAAATCAGAAAAACACGTCGCTACGTATATGCAAAAGCACACGCTCATGTCAAACGTGCGATTAAATAATTTGCCGCTAATAGCTTCTACATTGGATCCTCGGCGTCGAAATAAAAATGGCCGTACTTACAGGTTACAGATAGTTATGTACTTTAGCTCTTTCCACAAGGATCAAATTTTACCTGCGTAGCACCAAAATTAGCACTTCACTGAGCCTACCAAGTCACACACACGCACACACTATACAACTAAACGATATTGAATTTACATTAATCAGGAACAGGGTAAAACAGTTTTGATACAAGATAAATTCCCATACTCGTGCGTGAGTTATAAACAACCCACACTGTAATTGTGCAGATTTTGCTTAACTAACAGGGTCATAAATATATTTAAATTTTCTTATATGCCAAATACTGGGCGATCAAAAAAGTGGAGCATTACACTATGCACTCCATTATTTTCTTATATAAAATCATGAAATTAAGACTGAGACCATCGTACCTATACCTGATTTCCATGTACCCAAGGCGAGAGCTAGAAACAATTATTTGCTGTGCGTGAAATCTAAAAGACAAACATATAAATGTCATATAACAAATCGTTACCAACGACGCTGGTATAACATATTTGTCTGTAGGTTTTGTGTCTTTTGTCTAATTTTGTAGTTTTTTGTTTATTTCCACCATTTCTATGTAATTGTTTCTAAGTATTTATTATTTTCTTGTTCCTTATTGTTACAGTTTCCTCTGTTTCTTACCATTTTACTGTGTAAATTTATCCTGTGATTGGGTACTTAACCTGATATTACACAATAGTGGATAAATTTATACATAAAATTCAAAACGGTAAAATATTTAAAATCTAGTAACTTTAATTAGGTACTAGATTTTTATGATGTTGGACAGATGTTTTTTTAAGAAGATGTAATCTAATGTATACTTTGTACTAGTTGCATTATATGACGTAAGTATAACTTATTGGTATTTTTCACTTTAACAGAAACACAAAATCTGAAATTCTCGGAAAAAATAAAACAGGGGTTGTAATTTTGTTGCTACATTACATTAACCTAGTCTATGGGACTTTTAAAAATAGTTCGAGTAAATCTAACTTTAAGCAATGGACAGTATAGCATGAGAGCAACAAGCTAACAAGCTGAAAATCTCTAAGGACATCGATCTGTTGTAGCTTTTTCACTGCAGTATATCGACTGAAAATACAGGCAGTGGAAATCCTGAAAGATTTAAAGGCTTATTTTAAGGGTCCTGCTAAATCATTTGAGTAATACGCTCTATACTACATCTTGTGCGTGAATAAGCTCAAGCCATTAGCCTACTTTCTTTATACAGCTACTGTTATAAGTTGTTTTATTATTTATTAGATTAAAAGCATACAATAGCTGAAGCAGATTGCGAACAGGAGGTTTCGTGGAAAGTTCATGTGTAGAATGTTTATTAAGTAAGTTAATAACTAAAACTTTTATAAAAATTGTCTACATTTGAGTTTTGTATAAATGCGGGAAGTATACACACTGTTTTATATTTTGTTTAAAATTTTATTCAAAGGTTACTCAAAATAGTTTTAACCGATATCCATTTAAAATGGTGAGTGCTGAATTCACTTTTTTTTTTTCATTTGTTTATTTTTTATTTCCTTAATAATAACACTATATCCCTTCTCTTTTTTTCTTTCTAAAAAAAGATTGATCACATTTTCCATGTAGCTGATGCGAAAAACTTTATTAAAATGGCCGTGCTTTCTACCGCTTTTGGGTTGTGTGTCCTCAAGAATAATACTATCCATTATTCATTGCAGTTCATAATGATTTCATTCACTGATTCTGAAAATTGATATTAATATTTCATCGGTTATGCCATGACATGTCAGTCAAAGAGCGGAATTAATATTTGATTTGAAAGTTTATCAGAATTTTTATAGCAACATTTTACCAAAAATTTTTACTACTTAATAGTAGTGGATAAAGTATAGTATTCTAATCGCATGTAATGGCTATTATTCACTGGTGTGATTTACGGTGTCGTATACTTCACACTCGTGAATAATAGCCATTTTTACATGCTTGTTAAATAATATACTACTATAATTCTTTATGCATCTGTAGATAAATGTCTTCTACAATTGCTTTGAATGATGCATTGCATCAATACGCTTGATTCATTCCACGGATATAAATTTTTTTCGAAAACTAAAAGGTTTTTCTATGTTCGCAAACGAAATCAAAATGACTACTGTTTGTTAGATGCTAGGGCTATTTATTCTAAATTATTTTCCCATTTGCCCAAATATCCATAGGCCTTCTTAGAAAAATATAAGTACGGTCCTTACCTGCTCGATAATCCCTTAACAATAGAATTTTGTTTTGCAGCTGTTTACTGGAAACAATAACTCACTTTACTATATATATGAATATACTATACACATTTAGTGATAACGGACGCACACCCAATGTCCGGATATGCTTTAGAAAAAATCCCAGCTTCTTAACCAATGATTGAACCCAAGATTCCGGATGACAGGCAAGTGTCCTTATCGCTTGACTTAATAGTTTGAGTAATTAAGGAAAATTAATTACAATTAAATTTATGACCAATATTTCGTACAAAAGGATTTATTCAAATTGATTCTGACTTTACTGATAGGAATTTTTTACCATCTGTTATAAATTTCTTTCGTTTTAAACAGCAGTATATGAACAAGTTGTGGAAAAAGTTAATCTGGGCAAAAACGTTTTTATTGCCATGTCGTTTCACACATGTGCGCACTAGATAAAAAATGCTGATTGCGTATTAACTACGTTAATGTCAAGTAAAATTGAGTGAATAAATATTCATTTTGATATCCGTTATCATTTTTCAGATACAGGCAAAAATTTTATTTTCCACATTTTTAAAAATTTAAAGAAAAATTTTATAAAACATTAATCTAGGTAACCATGTTACTGTAGTTGAAATAATGCAAAAAAGAAACTATCTTTCTTAGTATATTTGAAAAAAAAGAGTTATGGAGTTACAAAAATGTAAAAGTATTTTTCATCGTCAATAAAATGGTATAATAAAAAATTTAAAAAAAAATTATTTCTTTGTTATTAAAAAGTTATTTATACACTGACAAAATTCTAGTCGCTTCGCAGCATCTCCTAGATGCAGGTGTTGGATACGTTGTATGTGATATGGCTGAAATTCGTTCCTATGTAATATTCTTGTATCTGGAATATTTAGTCGCATAGAAATTTTTCATGTATTAATGTCTGGACTAGTTTCTACTAACTGAATAATGTTTACCTGTTCATTAATATTTTGTAGATTTTCTCATCAGATGCCACATTACTGCTGAGAAGCTTACCGATATCATGTAGTTATCTGTGAACTCTGGCGAACACATTTCGGTTCGGAATTAGGCGGTTCGGAAACCGTCCATGGTATTCTTGTAACACCAGCATTACAATTTTCTTCGCAAAAGCCGTAGATGTACACCATATTGACATATTCACCATCTGTAAAGATATGTGATATTTTTAACAACAGGCTGATGATCACACTTATCACGTACAATACTGATAACAAACAATACTCAATATCTTTTGACATTTGTTACTTACGAAAAATAACAACATAGCTCTTTTGTAGTTCTCTTTAATTTTCAAATAAAAACTCCAGAAATATTTCCCTTTCCTCGTGAAATATTATGTACTTGCAAATATACAAAAATATGTAACAATCTTTTCTTGTCGTATCTTTGGACATCAATAAAATAATAAATTAATTAAATTAATTGTAAGAAAAGAAAGGCAAAAATTTTCAAAAAATTTCGAAAACGACATTTTTTCTTATCTCCAAAATTACAAGATATCGAAACGAATTTTTTTCTCGATAATTGACCTCGAGAATGTGTAACCAATATTTCTCTATCTACTGTACAAATGGGGAAACCCCCAATTCCTGCCAATTTGGTACACTGTATAATAATATATATACATACATATATATATATATATATATATATATATATATATATATATATATATATATATATATATATATATATATATATATATATGTATATATATATATATATATACATATGTTGTTTTTCAGGTTTTCGCGGGTGGTGAATGTTAAATTCGTTTTCCGGGTATACTCCCGCGTAGGTGATAGGCCCCGAGAGGGACCGAAACGTCGTTCAGACAACCACGGTTCCTCTCGGG